AAAACACATTTCACCTTAATTAGGCCACCTTCACCCTGGAATAAAGGTGATTAAACCAGAATGTAATACATGGCTTGAGTTTCATAAATAGAATCCTGTGAAATATGTTGAAAGTCAGAGAGATCCCTGAAATTAATGATCCAGTGTGTAAGTACAACCAAAACTACCTTAATTTTACCCAAATTTAAGATACCATTATTTTATATTAATATTAATAGCAAAATGATAATATCCATTAAAAAAAAATCACCGAATCATCGTAGTCATCGTCAGCAGCTTGAGTTTGAACTGAGAAAACACACAAAAGCAGCAGCAGCCACAGACGCCTCATGGTTTTGGATTTTCGGAAATCCCAAGCAGTCAGTTGCCCTTTGACTGTAGACCTAGCTGGAAGCCTGTGGATCTTATATATAATGGGTCCTCTCCCAGGCATGACTTCAGAAATGGTTACCTCCCATTAGTTAATATTTGACCTTTTGGGTTACTTGTTGGCTGAACTGCTTTATCATTTGAGCAACATCTTCCCAGCAAGCTTTGTTTACCCTTCAGATGCCTAATGTGGACGCTCTTCAATTCATTGGATCAGGGGAAATGATGGGAAATGGGGGCATTCTGAAAAGAGCCTCATGTTGGAGGTCTCATAAATTGTCGTGATTGGTGCAGAAGTTCACAAAGGAAGTGCAAGAAAAAGTTTAATTCAGACAAAGCCGTTTGGCCTACTTAGAAGGGGCCCAGGAAAACAACAAACTCAGAAAAGAGATGCATGCATGCTCATGCCTTTCGGCAGTTTGTTCAACCACTTTTGAAAGAAACCAATGAAGTCAAGAGTTAGAATGTCATCAAGCTGTCCTCTGCATATTAGTCAGAATAATAAAACCACCATTTGTCTATTCAGTGATACATAAACATCAGGAAAAAATAAAAAGCCCTGGTGTCTCTTCTTTTTATGGCCTGACCAACTTTTGCATTTTGCCTTTTTTCAAAGGTTAAATTTTTTAATCAATTCTAAATACTATTATGATATTAGTAGACTGTAGATTCCCATATTAAGATTATCATCATAGTAATGTTAACATCTCATGTTATTAGTATATTATGTGTCTTATTTTGTGTTATATTTACATGAGATGGTATCATTTTAACATGTGAAGTCTTCATACGTCTCTTTCAATTATTATGACCATACAGTAAATGTGGCTTTTTTCATTTGTCATTTCTCATAAGCTGTCACTTCTGTGTTTCCTGCTCATTTGTTTGCAGTAGTAAGAACAAGAACTAGTCCACCTAAGTCACATGAAATCCAAAGTCAACAAGTCATGTTTCCAGCAAGTGGGTTGCTCAAAAGAATTTCTGGGTTTTGTATGGAAAGTGGAACATCCTCATAAACTTTACCAAAAAAGTTTTATTTAAAAAAAAGATAGGAAATGATCTGAATTTGGGTCACAAGAGTGTTTGAAACAATATTTTGAAAGAGAGACACTAAATGTCTTCTCTTCAGAGTACAGTATGTCAAATTCTTTTAACAGATTGTAGAAACAAAATCTGAGTTTAAATACAGGAAAATACTGATTCTTTCCCAATTTGTGCTTCATTTATCAGGATGAGTAAACATACTTTCAGATTCTTTTTACTTTACTTTTTCTTAGAAAAATGTACAATCTAACAGAAAAATCAAGTTTGGAAATATGTATTAATCAAAAAGAGATATTAGAATATACCTTCATATTATAATCAATAAGAAACAAATCTTAATGCTTAATGTCTGGACAGGTTTCATCACTGTGACATTTATATTTTTGTTGATTTTAAAAGAAATATATTGAAAAAGGTTAATCATGTTTTGAGATGTATGGTATGACTATATTTCCAATCTCTGACAGGTAACCTCCTAGTGATAGTGCTAATCATTGTATAACTCTGTGTATTTTTTAAGTATCTCTACATATATTCAAAGTAGATCTTGTTCAACATGAAAGAGGAACCACCTCTCCTTGCTGCTTAGGCTGGCATTCTGAGATTTAATCATCATTCTCCACATCATGCCTACAAGCCTTCAAAAAGACAGTGTGCTAGGGGATGGGAATACACTGAGAATCAAGGCAGGGACAGAGGGTGTTCAAATCATTAATCACAGAAGAAACATGTGAACTGGCCTTCATAGATACATGACTAGATGATGTTCTTTTGTCTTATTTAATTCTTAAAACCACTACCTTCTACAGATGATAGAATTGAGGCTCAGAGGTCAAGTCTACAGGCACAGAGGTGGCAGGTGATAGTACCAAACTTGACCAAGTCTGTCTAACTCAGCAGGCCATGCTTTTTGCACACTAAATCACACTTCCCAATGGAATACATGTGCAAACTATAACGTTTTACCTGTACCTTATGTTTGTCATTGTCGCTGTTTGGGGCCACCACATCTATGATTACTACAGTGTCTCTGATTGGCATGTTCATTCTTACTTCTTACTTTCATTCGTATGTTTCAGCCCAGTCTATAGTGTGGGCAAGAATGTGACAAATGCAACATTTTTTTTTCTCTAGAGTTGATGTGGACAGGTAAACAGCACCCCAAGTTGTCTAATAGTCCCAAGCAGACGATTCCATTTCAAGGAGAAGAAACATACTGAAATAGTTAAGTATTTTTGCACTCTGCTGCCATTGGTGGACAGGGAAGGGAGTGCTGCTTGCTAAGCCAATAATGCTGTGTTTTCCATATTAGTTGATCTTGTTATGTAAGCCAAGGCCAGTCAATCAGTGACAGAGAAAACATGACCCATCATGACCAGCTGATTTCTGTCACAAAAGACAAAGACTTGTGAGCCCCAATTACTGAGACACTCTTCTTGTGACTTTTTTAGTTCAGGTAAGGCCCAGCCTACACAACTCAAGGCAATTTGGGCTAAGTAGCAATTTTTGAGTTCTTCCTTTGTGGCAAGTGGGATAGCTCAGTGAGCAATTGAGACAAGGGTCCTGAGTTTATGGGGAAAGACAACATAAACCTATGCTGCACCCCAAGAACCAGAGGAGGCAGTGACTTAGGTACCAACCTGCAAAGGGAAGATGGTCTTTAAAATGAAGAGTTTCTGAACCTGCAACGGGAGGCAGATGCTGAGTAGCATTGACAGCTTGTATCACCTGAGATATTTCACACACACACACACACACACACACACACACACACACACCAGTTGAGTTTATGGATGTAGGCGTGAATAATAGGTAAAGCATATGAGAGATGTCTACACTGGCACAATTGGAAACATTAAAATTATTAGTCTTTTAGCATGTTCTCCTTGGCTCCAACTGAAGAATGAGTGTCCAGTAGGAATTATCCCTGGAAAGTTGGAGGCCGAATGGAACTTCTGTCACAAACATCAGAACAGTGTGGCTGGGACACCTGCAGTTGACCTGTCCTCCTCAGTAGGAGACAGCATGTGATAGGGATGAAAAGCAAGAGGTCACTGTCTCTGTGGACAAGCTCCCTTTCTTGATTTAGTAATGTCAGCTACTGTTGAGTGTGTAGCTGATAAGACACCCAAGCAGCAGAGACAACAGGGCATTTTCTTTTCTGATCAGCTACAGATCACAGGAGCCATAGCAAGAACAAGATGCTCCTAGGTTGCTTTTATCTTAAGACTAGAAACACAAATTTGGTGGCTATCTTTGGAGTGCCAGAGTGGGACTACAGTGTCAGGATGATGACACTACAGGTGACCAAGAGTGGGCATGCTAGCTTTACCCCATGCTATCCCTATCAGAGTTTTAAGCAATTTGAAATCTGCAAAGGAAATAGAGAATCAGAGCCATTGGCTTGATTTCACATTCGTGCCAGCACCATAGAGAGAAGACTCAGCCACTGCAGTTCAAGCGTGATAACATTGCTCTGGGTAATCATTAAATCTGTCAGGCCCGCAGGTCCTTCCGGTAGTACCCTGTCCCATTCTACCTCACCTCAACAGCAAAGGGTACACTATTTGACGGAAAATAAAGATTTTTATTGTCAAGTGAGAACAGCTTGGTTAATGGGGAAGGGATTTCCTTAAAATCTGCATGACTGTTTTCCCACAAACAAATGCAGCATTCATATTTATATTCATAAATAGTCATGTTTGCTTAAAGGGAAAAAAAATCCTGTTCACCCTTATGAAGAGCCATAGTGACATCTACTGTTCACATAAGGCAGCTCAAGATGCCCGCCAGTGCAGTACAAAGTGTACCATCACTATTGGCCAGTTTTACAAAAAAGTAAGGTCCTTAGGCTAAATTCACATTTAAATTTATAAATTGAATTATAAATTGAGCCATCACTGGAGCGTTAAGTTAGGGATCAAAACCAAAATAAAACAAAACAAAAACAAAAACAACACCAGAAATGTCTGGTTTCATACAAACGAGACCTTAAAAAATAATTTGAGTGAGAGCAGTAATTCACATTGCTATATTTGTGTTACATTTTCACTCTTCTCAAAGGATTCTCAGTATTCTCTGAGGACGGATGATTGAACTTAATCACGGTTCAGGAAGGCGTACAATCAGTGAAAACGTCTCATTTAAGATCGCAGACACCAACCACATCAAATATTTTCACTCAGAAAAACATTTGAAAACAACAGCTCATAAACCAAACAAAACTTCAATACTTTAGCATCCGGCGAAATAAAAAGTCCTCTAACGTTTCTGAAAAAACTGCCTAGGATCTCTTCGTTAATTAGCATTAAGTTAAGCATCCAAGAGCAGATGCGGGCACCTAAGCGAGGCTTTAAGGCTGGCGCGAGCGCAGGGGCCTCCGCCCTGATCCAGGGACTCCGCCCAGCTTTGTTGAGACCCGACCCTCCCCCTAGAGACTCCGCCCATCCCCGCCTAAACCCCGCCCAGCTCCTCTTGGAGGCTTCCGAGATCCGGCTCTCGGACTCCGAGGCTCCTGTCAACTCCGCCCAGGTCCCGCCTTCGACCGCTAGGCCACGCCCCTCTCCCTACCCGCGCAACGGGCGGTCAATACGCATGCGCGGGTGGCGTCACATCCGCCGACAGACCCCCAGTCTCCGGAAGGAGCTGTAGAATAGTGGCGGCGATTTCTGCGTCCATCATCTGAGTTTCTTCCCTGCTGGAGGAGTGGGCTAAGCCGTGGCGACATGGTGGAGGTAATCGGGGATCTTTTCTCTCTGGAGCTTTGCTTTGCCCACGAACGTGCAGGGTGAAAGTGCTGGGAAAATGGGGAGAGAAGCTCTGTAGCCAAGGCTGGTGGTCCCGGGATTTCGGGGCGAGGGTAAGGCCAATGACATTTCGAATCCGAGGTTCGGTCAGAGGGAAGCCTAAGAGAACCTTGCAGTCCCTGCGTGTCACTGGGAGCTGGCGCTGTCCTCGGAGGCGGGGCTTCCGTGGTTGGGATGCTGGTCCAAGCAGTTCGACTGTTACTTAGGTTCTACCCGAGTAAAGCTTGCCCTTCTTGATTTTTTTTTGTTTGATTTTGCATATCCCAACCGTTTCTTAATTTCACCCACTGCATTCCACCTCCACTGCAATCCTCCTAATCTAGCCCAACATCTTTTGCTGGGACTGATGAATTAGCTTCTAGCTGGTCTATGTGCTGATGTTTAATGACTACCTTGCAATACTGTAGTTCACTTGTGTAGCTTGCACAAGGCATTGTATTCAGTCTCCAGCACCACAAACGAAAATACCATATGAATTGATCCCGCTTTTCCTGCTTAAACCTCCTTTCTGGCCCAGTGTTACTAGAATAAAAATGTAGGTGGTGAAAAGGTCTGAACCTCACCTTCCCTTGAAGCCTCATTTGGGCCTGGGAGTCTCATTTTTTACTACAGCCCACAATTCTGCAGCATTCACGACTGTACTGCAGTTCTGGTATTATTTGAACACCTTTGCAGTGGCATTTTTCCTCAGTTTGCATAATTAATACCTCTGTTCAGTGTAAGACTGTCTTCCTCTCTGCTTAAATATCACAATATCACCTCAGATAAATCTTTCATAATTACATTTAGTGGTTCTTTTTTTTTTTTTTTTTTTTTTTTTTTTTTTTTTTGTTCTGTGACTCATCATCCCATTACCTGTTTTCATAGAGCCTCCCAAAATTTGGAATTGTTTTGCTTATTTTTGTCTGTTATTTCTTGAGCACACTGTATGCCAGATACAGCAGGAATTCAGTAAATGTTGATAAAACAAATTACTATCCTAGACCTCATTCAGTTACTTTGCCCAGATCTCCAGCCAGCCAGACAGGAGCTTTCTCATCTTTGTTGTTGACTGCTGTACTTTGTTGCTGATTGTGTGGTGTGTACATCCTTGTATGTATTTAACATAGTCATTGTAGCGTTGATGAGTGTGTCACTTGCGTTAGATGTGTGATTTCGGCTGTTTCTTTACAGGAGGTGCAGAAGCATTCTGTACACACACTGGTGTTCAGGTCATTGAAGAGGACCCATGACATGTTTGTAGCTGATAATGGAAAACCTGTGCCTTTGGATGAAGAGAGGCAAGTTTTATTCCTTTATTTTTAAAGGTGATAGAAGAGCACAAAGAGAAGATGACTTGTAAAGGTCTTAAAGTGGTGCAGACACTCACAGGATACTTGGGCAATAGCAAATGGCTTTTGATCATAATAAGAGTTTACTCTTTTTTTTTTCTCCCCCTCTTTGGTCTTGTTTTGTGTTTTACGGTAAAAATTCCATTAGCTTCTCATAGAAATACCCAGTGTGATTGTTTTAAGAATGGCCCCATAGGCTCATGTGTTTGAATGCTTTTTCTCTAGTGGGTAGAACTGTTTCAGAAGGATTAGGAGGTATGGCTTAGTAAGAGGAGGTGTGTCACTGGAGTAGGCTGTGACATTTCAAAAGCCCACACCATTCCCAGTTAGCGTATGCTCTTGCTCCCCCGACACCTATGCTTGTGAATCACACAGAAACTCTCAGTTGCTACTCCAGCATCATGCCTGCCTGCCTGCCTGCCTGCCTGTGGTCTCATGTTCCCCCATATGGTGCTCAAAGACTAACCCTCTTTAACCATGAGCCCCAAATTAAATACTTGGTTTGTAAATTACCTTGGTTATGGTGTTTTGCCACTGCAATAGAAAAGTAACTAAGATACCTGTTAGGTTAGTTTATTTTAATGAATCACTTTGTACGTGCTTTCAGCTTCTTGCTTTTGAGTCTTGGTGAACTAAAATTGTACTTGGCTAGTACCTACTCCTATCTTCGCTCCTTAGTATAATGACGACTTTTGAGGAGCATATTTTGGTTGTGACCGGCCTTATTCTGGGATTGTGTTGTATGTAATGCCCTTCTTTGGCCTTTGCTTTTTCTTTTGTATTCTACTTGATTCCCCTCATTTGTATTTATATTTAATTTATAAGGTGTATTATTTTTTTAATGATGTGAGTACATTTCTCTTTAAAAGGCTGAGCTAATTTAGTGCTTTCATTAGATCTGATAAAGTGTCTGCCAGACATTTAAAGATTATTTAAAAGATATATTAGTTTGTGTATGCCTTTAATTCAGTTGGACCCTTGAGGTCTCATCAAAAAAACTTATGTTTATTGGGCAATCTAAGGTCCTACTTGTATTTAATGAATACTATATGATAGATTGTGAGAAAAAGTAAATAGATATGGTGTAGAAATGCATTTTGAAATTTTGTATTTGTTAAAATACTATTTAACTTGAAAACCATCCTGTATCTGTAAGAGCAAGTAAAGTATTGGTTTTATGTGCTTGTTTTATGGCTGTTTAATATTGTCATAGGTGAATGTATTTTCAGTATTTAAAGATGCATTTCATATTTATAATTTTTAAATAGTCACAAGCGGAAAATGGCAGTCAAGCTTCGTAATGAGTATGGTCCTGTATTGCATATGCCTACTTCAAAAGAGAACCTCAAAGAGAAGGGACCTCAGAACAACGCAGCAGATTCATATCCGCATAAACAGTATCCTGCCAATCAAGGTAAATAGGTTTACATGTGAATTTTTAAAATAGAAAAAAGAAAGTTTTCCTGGTGCCTCACTGGGAAGATTGACTATGTTACTGTAATTGTGGGAGTTTTGACTTGCTCATCAGAGTAGTGACTAAGATTTGTAGTTTATGACTTCACTAGAAAATAAAATGTAGTACAATTCTTAAGAGGTAGACGAGGTTATAATGGAGTGTACAGGGAAAATTGAAGCTCATTACTAGCCTGTGGGGAGACCATCTGTTAGGTATATAATGCAGAAAGGCACAAAGAGAACCTTGTACTCCATGTGGAACTATTTGCTTTGAAGAACCACCCGGGTAATTGTCAGTGAATGGGAAAGCCTGTGTTCCCAGCACGGCTAGCTAGAAATGCATGTTCTTTCTTCATTTGGTAACAGCTTATAGGCAAAATGACCAACTTGCTTGATTTCTGAGTCTTCAACTTAGTTGAAAAGGAAAACTCTAGTTAATACTAGTAATTCCTTTTTAAAGGTACTTGAATGGACATAAATTCACTGGCAATGAATTTATTTATTTACTTATTTTTAGGACAAGATGTTGAGTATTTGGTGACAGGTACACATCCATATCCACCTGGACCTGGTAGGTTTCAATAAGACTGTATTAGGTGTACATAAATGTATTATCTGTTGATTTAAACAAATGTGTAGGTACCTAAATTTAAGCATATGGGTAGGTATGGCTGAAGCAATCAATTACGTGTGTGTGTATGCGTAGACAGGTTTAAATATTTAAATATTTGCTCATAAACACACTGTTTCAATCAATAGAAGTTTAACTGTTAAATAGTCTTGAGTTGCTCTTAATGCCAACCTGCTTGTATTCAAATTTGAGCTATGTATTAACAAGTATTATGAAAAAGTTTAAAAGCAAAGACAAACTGAACTTAATCTGGATTTTTATACTGTCTTTGCTTAGAAATTACTGTCTGTGTTTTCCTCCAGGTTTGTTTTAAGTTCAAGTAATAGTACTGAAAGGAACTGTTTTTATTAAAATAGGTGTTGCTCTGACTGCTGATACTAAGATCCAAAGAATGCCAAGTGAGTCAGCTGCACAGTCCTTAGCTGTGGCATTGCCAAATCAAGCCAGGTATGACTGTTATGCTTTAGTGACAAAGATCTTCACCATTTGCAGTTTTTGATTGTTAATGTATATGCTTGTGGAAGCCAGATGGTACTACCATTAAAAAGTGTGTGTGTGTGTGTGTGTGTGCGCGCGCGCGCGCGCCATAATGCTCATGTGGAAGTGAAAGGAGAGCTTGGGGAATTGTTTGTGTCTCTACTGTAGATTCAGGGGTTGAACTCAGGGAAGTGAAGCAAATGCCTTTACCCATGCTATACCGTTTTCCTGCTCCTTTATTTGTTTAAGGTCCCTCTTACTGTTCTGGAACTAAGCAAGTAGGCTAGGCTGGCAGCCAGCAATCCCTGGATGTGTGCCTGTCTAGTCCCAGTGTTGGAATGACAAGCACATGACACCATGGTGTTTGTTTGTTTGTTTAAATAAAGGTCCTGATGTTTACAGTAGCAAGCACTTTACCAACTGAGCTGTCTCCCAGGTGTCATCCAAAATTCTGAAAAGAAAGTTTGTTTGTGCAGAATACATAACTAGAGAGGTGCTGAGTTATTATTTCATGATCATTCTGTTCTGCAGAGTTGATGCAAATCGTACTGCTCCTGCTGGAAATGAGTACCGACACCCAGGGGCTTCTGACCGTTCCCAGCCCACAGCAATGAATTCTGTAAGTCTCCTGGGTCAAAAAACTGCAACTTTTTAGCTATTGAAACAGGATTCCTTCCTTTCTTATAACTTAGAAGTCTTACCTAGATACTGAAGTCAGTAGGGATCTGTTAATAAAAATAGCAACCTGAGATTGTCCTTAACATTTCATATCCCTAAAAATATAGTTTTGATAAATTGCTTCTTTTTTAGAATCCAAAATCCTGTTACTTCTGTGCCCACTTAACATTATATATTTTAAAAAGACAATATTGTGATCTTGGTATTTACTAATCACTCTCAAAAGTACAAGGAATAGGGCTGAGGAGATGGTTCAGGCAGTTAAGAGCCCTTGCTTCATGAAAGCACACAGGACCTGTGTGTGGCTGTGTGCTATATGTATGTGCATGCACACACAAAATAATTAAATTTTAAGAAATTTTATAGTACTAAGGTATTTTTCAACTTGAGCAGAATCTGTCCCTAGGTTCCTATATTGTTTTTATTGCTGCCAGTGAGTGAATATGTTTGTTTATTTATTTATTTTTAACTTACTTTTCCTTACTATAGTTACTGGGAAAATGTTACCCTAGAAGTAGCATCCAACACATACACACACAATGCAAGGAATGTTACCTGAACCTTGTATAGCTTTATGTTATTGTGAATATGTGCTGGTAATGTGGGTTGGTGTGATTGCAGTTTTTGGCAGAGACCATAGTTCAGAGCAGATCTCTGTTTAGGCTTCTGTCTCCTTAGGATGATATGTAAGTTTCTTCAGGATAGGGTCTCAGGTAGCCCAGGCTACCCTAGAACCCTGTGTAGCTGAGCTAACCTTGAACTCCTGATCCTGTTACCTCTACCTTCTGAGTTCCTTAGTTGCGGGCTGGAGATAAATCCAGATGTTCATGCATGCTAGGCAAGCAATCTCTCAATTAATACATCCCTTACCCCAGTTTATAACCCCTAAGGGTAGAATTTCATAGCTTTCAATGTAGTTTTAGATTAATGGGGTGATGCTAATGGTAGATTCTTTAGGTTGTACATTATTTATTTCTTTATTTAAAGTGCTTGGACTGCAAGTGTTTCAGATTAGTTTTTTTTGGGTGGGGGCTTGGAATGTTCACATACATGTTTTAAGATTAATTACACATGTTCTTTGACATTTCATCATACATGTAAAAATTGCCTTCTGATTATTCTCACCTTCTGCCCTTTTAGCCTTCTTCCATTCTAAAATCTCTTTTCTACTCCCATGTCTTTATGTTTTGTTTAGTGGCCAACTGGGTTTAACCAGGCTGTGTGTAGACCATGGGTTTGGAACTATTCATTTGAGCTTGCTGTCTCAGTAGTAGATACACACCTGAAGGCAATGACTCCTTCTCTCCCAAAATCTCAGTAGTCAGTAGTTCAGCAGGTAGGGTTAGGCCCTATGTACCTCTCCCTATCCATACCTGATTGTTGATGGCGCTAGTCTTATGTAGGCCCAGTGCAGATTCCTGCAGCTGCTTAAGTTCAAGTTTGCAGTGGCTATGTTAGGCTCAGAAGGTGGCATTGCTTGGCTTTTCTCCCTATCTTTTGGCTCTTAGATTCTTTCCACTTCCTCATCTGCAGTGTTCACTGAGCCTTAGAGAAGTTGGTATAAATGTCTTGTTTAGTGCAGAGCACTCAGTGTTAATTATTCTCAGAATCTTGAACAGCCATGAATCTCTGCATTTATGACTGTGACCTGAAAGAGAAATTTCTCTCATAAAGGCAAGGAGTAGCATATATCTATAAAGATAGATATATAGAGGCTTCCTGGCCTTTTTTTTTTTTTTTTGGATCAGGTTTATAGTACCGTGGGTAGGTTCCCTCCTGTGGGGCAGGCCTCAAATCCAGTCAAAGAGCAGTTGATTACTCTTATAACAATGTGTACAAATGGCCTCATCTTGCCTAACGAGTTGGTATTGAAGTTCATAGGGGTCAAAGCTGGGTAGGACCATTGATGCCTTTTCTCCTCTGAGAGCCTGTGCAGCACCTTCCATCTCTGAAAGTTGCTAAGTTCCATTTCTGTTGCAGCTTGTTTTCTCTGTATCTTGCAACCCAGGTGTGTGGTGTCTTATAGCCTCTTAACATCTAGTTCTGGTGAACAATATATTAGCTATTGCACACTCAATCTGAAATCTAAAGTACGCTTGGTTATAGGAGTATTTGAAAGTTAAATTTTTGGCTTAAGTATGCTCAACCTTTATCAGCTAGTATATATTTTAAAATATTATTTAATTACTATTAAAAGATGAAGAGATAAAGGAAGGTTACCATGTTTTTGCCTAAAGTTGATCAACTATGGTTGGCTCAGTTGGGTTTTGAACTCCACAGTGATGTGTGTTCAGGGCTCAGCTGCTTTTTTGTTGTTGTTGTTGTTTCAATATGGAACATCCAGAGTTCTGATGAAGCTTTATACTTTTTTTTTTTTTTTTTTTAAGTTAAAAGGTATTTTAGGTATCTTCCTTTTCAGTTAATGAATTAAAAAACAAAACCTTTCATACATCCTTTCAATTTATATTTCTGAATTAATGGCTTGAAACCTTCAATATGATAGATGTAATAGTTGTGTATTCATCCCATATCTAGATGATTATGGAAGCTGGCAATACCAAGAACTCTGCATTAATGGCTAAAAAAGCCCCTACGATGCCCAAACCCCAGTGGCACCCACCATGGAAACTCTACAGGGTAAGTGGATCTGTACTTCGGTCTGCCTCAGGGCACGTTAACGGTTTCTCATCAGCCAGGAGTGAACTTAGGGAGTGACCTGAGGGGCTTGAGCTTGGGCACTGTGCTGAGATGTCAGCAGCTGTTTCCAAGTACAGCTGCATAGTGTCTTGTTTTTAAATAAAATACAATATGAAGTATTGGTGGAAGATACTACATGTGGAGAGCAGATAATAAAGAGAGAAGTGTTTTCTGTGACAGAAGAAGATTCCTTAGAAAGATGTTTCTTTGGCCAATGATCCTGCCAGCTGTAATAAATTTTAATATGACTCAGAATTCATCAGTTCAGAAATAAAATACGAGATAGAAAATGTACAGCCAACATAGGTGTTTTCAGACACCATACCATCTATATTTTAGTCTAATGAATTTAACAGATAACAGATTTGAATAACCACTGCCATAACTATAACACCATCTCACAGAGCACCCTATACTATTGTAGTTATACACTCTTCTAGTCCTGGCAACTGCTGATCTGTTCTCTGTTATTATATACTTGCATCTTAAAAAATAAACAAAATATTATGCCATGAAATTGCAAGTGTATAGAAGGTATTTCTTGAGAATGGTGCCCTTCACTCAATAATTTTGAGATAAATTGCATTCCTTTTTCTTGGTTAGTAGCATTCCATTGTATAGATGTGCATCAGTTTCATTATTCATTCACTCATTTTAAAGTAAGTTTTCTCACTTTAAAATATATAACTCAGTGTTCTAGAACTACAATTTGAAGATGACGCAGTTAAGTCCAGATTGTGGTTAAATTGGGCACATTTTAATTAATGTATGGCTGAGTCTTCTCACTTCACTCTTCTTCACTCTTTTTTACATAGGTTATCAGTGGGCATCTTGGCTGGGTTCGATGCATTGCGGTGGAACCCGGAAATCAGTGGTTTGTTACTGGATCTGCTGACAGAACTATTAAGGTAGTAAAGAAGATTTTGGGTTTGTTTCTTAAGTTACTGCCTAGAGAACATGATGTTGATGATGTTGTAGGTTGTTTTTTGTTGTTGTTGTTGTTGTTTGTTTGTTTTTTTGTTTGTTTTTTTAAGATTGACACATGCAGTACAATTTACTGTCAAAACTAGTAACAATGTCTTTTTGCAAAGTGGCATTCAAAGTTGCTTTGTAAGCATGTTGATGGCCTATTGTTAATTCTCTGTAACTGTTACTAAAGGAAGTTTTCATGCTATGATTACAGAATGAAAGCAGAGTTCTCTGTAGAGATGTAGTGAAAAGTAGTATAAGAGAGCCTAGACTGGTATGCAGTGCTATGACGGGTAGACCCTCAGGTGGATTCGTTTTACTATGTCTGTGTTGATGTGCCAGTGAATCTACTGCTAACCCTTTTTCTGTGTATACAGGTATGTGTCATGTGAGAGTCACTTTTTTCTTCCTCCTCTTCTTCATTGTTAATGTTTTGACACAGGGTTTCTCTGTTTATCCCTGGCTGTCGTAGAACTAACTCTGTACACCAGGCTAGCCTGGATCTCACAGAGATTGGCCTGCCTCTGCTTTCTGTATGCTAGGATTACAGGCATGTGCCACCATGCCTGACAAAAATCCTTTTTTTTTTTTTTTTGAGTCTTGTTTTTCTCACATAGCATTGTCTTAAAGATCTAGTCTTATGAAAAATTCAGGATTTTAAATGGGTAGAATGTGCAGATAATTCTATAACCTGTCTCTTACTGCTCCACATAAAATTTTTAGTTTTATAATTTTCATTGTGATGAGCCTGCATTTGTTTTACACAGACTGCTTTTTTTGTGTGTTGTATTTTTGTTTTGATAGATTGTCATACTACAAATGTTAGGCCAAATGTCTCTGAGCTGGTACAGAAAGTGCAAATTTCTTTCCAAAGTTAGTGAGCTGATAGTTGGTCCATTGTGCTGACCACATAGCTCGTCAGAGGAATGCACTTAATGTGACCACTGGAAGTGGACAGACATTCAGATATGTAGTGAGGGTGGAATGTTTTCGTCTTTGCCACTTTCCTTGGTTAAGTTGCTGTTTCCTTGGGTACGGATAATACTGTATTGTTGGTATTTTCATAATCAGTACATTTTCTTGTGTATTCAGAGTAGTAACCTTGTCCTTGTCACTTTCTGCAAATACTTACCCAGTCTGAATGTGCCTTATTTTCCCTTTTATTTGGAGAGGGATCACTTTAAAGAGTCTTAGCTTTGTGTGTACATATGTTGTTTTGTGAGTGTTCTGAGTCTTTTGTGTGTGTGTGTGGGGGGGCTAACCAGCATAAAGAAAAACAATGATTTGATTTCAGATTTGGGACTTGGCTAGTGGAAAATTAAAGCTGTCGTTGACTGGCCACATCAGCACAGTGCGGGGTGTGATCGTAAGCACACGCAGTCCTTACTTGTTCTCTTGTGGAGAAGACAAGCAAGTGAAGTGCTGGGATCTTGAATATAACAAGGTGAGTTTGGAGCAGAGGTGTTCCAACTGCATGAGCCATGGTTCGTTGTATTTATACTATACTGCTGGGACCAAATCCAGGGCCTTTTGCAAGCCAGGCCAGCTCTCTGCCTTGGAGCTGTATCCACAGGCCCCAGTGTTGATGGTTCTAATTTTAGAACTTGTAACTTCTTTTATCTTCAGGTTATACGGCACTATCATGGCCATCTAAGTGCAGTGTATGGTCTGGATTTGCATCCAACAATCGATGTCCTGGTGACCTGTAGTCGAGATTCAACTGCGCGGGTAAATGAGATGTAGCAGTGTGCTCATTGTAGGCGCTGTTGTATCTTCTCTTATGCAAACTTGATATTAGCATGTTATTTTCTTATAAGGAACAATCATTCGTGATATGTCAACAGCATGGCCTCTTTCAGGATTTGTGACTTCTATGTTTGTTCAGTGTTACTCTTCAGTTCTGTGTTTGCTGCTGCTAATGTCCTGCCCCTGAACTGTGACAGTTTCCTATGCTTAGCCTGTGGTTCCCAGCCTGGGGACCTTGACCCCTTTGAGGGTTGAACAACCTTTTCATAGGGGTCACTTAAGACCATCTCACATATCAAATATTTACATTATAATTCATAACAGTAGCAAAATTACAGTTATAAAGTAGCAACACAAATAATTGGTTGGGGTAACCATAACATGAGGAATTGTTTTTAAAGGGTTACAGCATTGGGAAGGTTGAGAACCACTGCTCAAGGCTATCACAGTGGTTGTTCATTAGCTGTTTAATTCTCTAGTCCCATTGTGGGACTAAGCTGATAGGTCAGTATCCTGATCTATAAACTTCTGTCTTCCTTGGCCTCTGTCTTTTCCCATACCACATGGATCATTGTCTCCCATTTATGCATTCTCTTCATTATGTTCAGATACACTGGTTTGGCAAGCTTAGAGCTTTCCAATATGCATACCTGTTCTTTCTCATAGCCTGTTGGTTATATTTTTACAGATTTGGGATGTAAGAACTAAAGCCAGTGTACACACGTTGTCTGGACACACAAATGCAGTTGCTACCGTGAGATGCCAAGCTGCAGAACCACAGATCATTACTGGTATGCTATGCTTCTCCACCTTACACCTCTTCATAGCCGAGGCACCGCCGTTCTGCATCAGCACCGTAGCTCCCCCAACTCCTGCTTTGTGTTGTGTTCTAGTGCACTTTGTATTTTAATGATGGTATTTGAAATGTGTGTGTTAGGTATTGTAAAAGCTGTCTAGAAAGCTGCTGTTAGATACAGTCAAGTGTTGTTCTAGAGTGTCATGACTCTCATTCTAGGGAGTTAAACTTAGAAAATACCCTGCCACCAATACCTTCAGATCTGGTATGAGTCTTATTTGAATGACTGGGCCTTTACTGTGACTGTAAATTAATTCTTTCACTTGGTTTTGTTAATTAGAAATACTAAGATGAAACAATTCACTTTTTTCCTTCTCAGCCACTGGGGGGATAAAATTTGGTTTATTTGCTGTTTGTATTTTTTGATAGTTAATTGGGTATCTTATTTTTTTTATTTTTAGATTTGTATGTATAAGTGCTTTGCCTGCATGTGTGTATGTGTATTACATGTGTACCTGGGACCCACACCGATCAGAAGAGAGGATCAGATTCCCTGGAGCTATAGTTACAGATGGTTGTGCATCACTGTGTGGGTGCTGGGAACCAAACCCAGGCCATCTCTCTAGTGCCTCAGTCAGGCATTTTAAAAAGAACGAAATATAAAATAAAACTGTAGTTTTAGAAGTTTGCGGAAAGTATTTACAATGTAGAACTTCCACTTAGTGTATGTATGTGTACAGAGGAGTACTTTGTGTTTACTGTATTCTAACTTGTGGATTCTGTCTTGTCTCTGTCTCTCTCTGTATCTGTGTGTCTGTGTCTTTTCATTACAGGAAGTCATGATACCACAATACGATTATGGGATCTGGTAGCTGGAAAGACAAGAGTGACATTGACAAATCACAAGAAGTCGGTCAGGGCTGTGGTCTTACATCCACGACAGTAAGTATGTTTTACTAATTAGTGTTTTTTTCTCCGTGTCTTAGTGAACTCCAACACCTGGACTGCCTTTGCAGTCCTACAGCCTATGCTGCTTTGGACAGGCTCTCTTTAATTGTCTGTCTGCTGCTATTTTACTTCATGTTCTGTATAGAATGAAGGAGAAAGCCTCTACATAGTGACAAATACGACTAAGTCATGGTTAAACCTGCATGTTAAAGTAGGTGGTAATAGTGGCTGAGTATGTTTTACTTTTTACCTGTCATAGATTGTGTCATATATGGTGTCTTGTAATGTCTGAGACAGACAGAATGTTTAGTCCTTAAGGAAGAAGTTGGTGTACAGGATGGGAAGGTGGAAGAAGAGCCATCCACACTGTAGTCATGATTCCCAGAGACGTCAAGCATATAGTCACAAGCTGTTTGTCACATGAGACCACCCACCCTGTGCTGGGCCCTCTCCCTCCTTTCTTGCCCCTTTTTTCTCCTTCCTTTCATTTCTCTTTTGCCTTCCCTCTATTTCCTGCTCTCTCTCTTTCCCCAAAATTATCATAGGGGTTTTTGCCCATTACATGTGGACTTTGGTTGTGCTAATTTAGTGTAGAACACTGAAGAAGTGAAACATTACTCTAGGATTTCAAATGCATTTCAGGAGTTTGAAAGGACGGTGAAACTTAGGACAGAGATATTGATGATTTTGCACCTTGGTGGACCTAGTACTTTACTGAAGCTGTCTGAGCCAGTGAGCACACAGGGATTTTTTGAACCAGGGAGATTTTTTTTTTTTTTAATGCAATGTACTTTACCATTAATTCTTGTTAATCTTTGTTTCAGTTACACATTTGCATCTGGGTCTCCAGATAACATAAAGCAGTGGAAATTCCCTGATGGTGGCTTCATTCAAAATCTCTCTGGTCATAATGCAATTATTAACACGCTGGCAGTCAATGCTGATGGAGTACTTGTGTCTGGAGGTAAAGCAAAGTTTTTGTGGTGTGTTGAGTTTGCCCTTTTGTCAAAGTGGGTGAATTAGTGTACTTCCTACAGCATTACACTTGTTTTACTTGACTAGGGTGTGTGTGCTCATCATGGTGCGTTGATAATCCATGCAGCATGTTGCATAGTTTTGTCCTCTTTGAATTCTCATGTGATAAAGATAGGGATTTATGTTAGGAATTGTCCCATGTTTGTTTGGATTTCAAATGTTATGGTGCCTTTTATGGTCTGTAGTTTTGAATTAAACACAGATGAAAGTGGACAAAACCTTATTAGGGAATTTGAGTGAGTGTGTGGCTGTGTGTCTTTTATTGCTGATGTGGTGTTTAGCTCATGGGTCATCTGAACTGTTGAAGGGATAGAAATCTAACCACAACTTTCTTCACAGCTGACAATGGCACTATGCACCTTTGGGACTGGAGAACTGGCTACAACTTTCAGCGAGTACATGCAGCAGTACAACCTGGGTCTTTGGATAGCGAATCAGGAATATTTGCTTGTGCTTTCGATCAGTCGGAAAGTCGTTTACTAACAGCTGAAGCTGATAAAACCATTAAAGTTTACAGAGAGGACGAGACTGCGGTAAGTGTTACTTTCCATGTATGTTTCTTTTTTTCAGTTTTTTTTTTTTTTTTTTTTTAATTTAATTTTATGTTTTGTATTTAGAGACAGGACTTCACATTGTGTCTCTGGTTAGCCTGGAACTCACTTTGTAGCTCAGGTTGACCTAAGTTTGAAGCATTTTACTTGCCTTTGCACCCAGATACTAGGATTATGGGTATGAACTACCACACCAGCTTTTACATACATTTTAAATAAAGTAAAAGAACTGCCATGCCGATTTAGCAAGGGCCTTCTTTCTTGATCACTAGAAAGAAAAAGACTCATAATAATACTCAGAGATTTGTCATCTTTACTGATCTGCTTGAGGCGTCTGTGTGGTTTTATTGATGTTTATGGCTCCATTGTTCATTGTTCCATTACTTTTTAAATCCAGTTCTTTCTCAGTACAGTTACTGGGAAAATGATACATTAATAGTAGCAAATAATAGACTTCTGTGGAAATGAAATCTGGAATCACAACATTGGTGTTGCTATAATAGCTAAACAGAAATCTGACTTCAGGTGAAAATGCTAAACTGAACATATGATAAATCTTTATTAGACTTGGATAATGTCAGAAATTTGTCAGCTGTTTCTAAAATTCTTAGAGATCCATTAAACATGTCTTGCCAAGTAGTGTGATTTAGTAAAGACAAGGTATTTTTATTGAAAGGAAAGGAACTAATAAAATAACACTGTATATACTGTTCTGTTTTTAGACAGAAGAAACTCACCCAGTCAGCTGGAAACCAGAAATTATCAAGAGAAAGAGATTTTAGTGGGCACTGTCTTCATGGTTGTCCTTTTATTCATAGTTTGGCGCTTATGAGGATGTCCAATCATTTGTGGAAGCTTACTTGGCGGAAGTCTTGCTGCTTTGTATTTTACAATAAACTGCTCCCTATGTCCATTACCCTGTGTTTTATTTCTAAAACAAAGAGCTTATGATTTCAGCAGTAAAATGCAAATATCAAGAATGCAGGTTTATTGACTATTGTTTTTTTTTTTTTTTTTTTTTTTTTTTTGAAGGGGGGTTGGTTTTTGGTTTTTCGAGACAGGGTTTCTCTGTGGTTTTGGAGCTTGTCCTGGAACTAGCTCTTGTAGACCATGTTGGTCTAGAACTCACAGAGATCCTCCTGCCTCTGCATCTCAAGTGCTGGAATTAACACCACTGCCCAGCAGGAACACTTTTTTTTAACAGTCCTTTGTAAACAAAAATCAGTGAAGAATAATTTGGGGTTAAAAGATTTGAATTCTTGGTGAGGTATGGTGCTTTTAATCCCAGCATTCAAGAGACAGAAGCAGATAGTTTCGTGTTTGAGATAGTCTAGGATATGTAGTGAGTTTTGGGTTAGCCAGGGCTACATAGACTATGTTTGAAAAAAGGAGAAAAAAAGAGGTCTTACTCTGAAGTATTCCAAAGAATCTAATGTATTCCAAAGCAGGTTTGTCTGTTCTACACTGTGTTCTGGTCTAGAAAAGGCAGAAGTCTCTTCTTTTCTCTGAGACTTGCAGTCTTAGCAGCCTGCTGTAGAAATGCTGCCAGGTCAGTGGTTGTGGGGAGCTCAGAGGCACAGCTCTTCATCATTCCTGGGAGGCTTGATGCTGTCATTCAGCAAGAAGCATTTAAGCTGACCTTGAATTGGGCAGGGTTCTCTTAGTTAGGTTGGTTTGTTTGCCATGCTGCAAATCAAACTAGGGCTTCACAAAGAACTGAGCATGTGTTTTAATCAATCCACCCAGTCCCTAGCAAAGGGACTTTCTAAACTAAGAAATTGGAGAACTCTAGATATGGGAACATGGGTGATGTGCTTGGTTAGGTCCAAGAATTGCCTGCTGCAGTTGATGACTTGTGTGACAGGGAAGCTTGGGTGTTGAGTTTGGGCTGTGTTCTGCAGTAGTAAGACACTGGTAAAGAAACTTGGAGAAAATAACTGGCTAGCAAAGACTGCAGTCTTATGAGGATTTTCTAGTTTCTAATGCCTATGCCTCTTGGTAAATAAGTTTTAGATCTTTTGCCTTTCAGATCCTAGCTCCCCTTCAGTCAAGACTTCAAGCTTTACTTCTAGCTAGGAAATGATTCCAAGTTGAGCTGCACTGGATTTGTTGAGCAGTTTCAAGTTCTCAAGTCCCATCCTGCATCTGTAGTTGGGGTGTAATTGTTCCAGCCTTTCAAAAGATAGTTTTCCAGGGCAGTTTGAAACTATTTGAATCTTTTGTCCTCTCATTTCTAGGAAATGGCTTTCCAGGAATAACCTGACATGTGTACTCAAGTGTGTTGTACATTTGTTTTTTAATCCTTGAAACTAACTCAATCTTGTCCATTCTGGGCAGTTTATTAGGTTTATGATGCAACATTTCTTAGTATTCTCTGAAAGAAAACACTAGATTATTAGGGCAAGATTACCAAAAATTGCTTATATGAAACTGTATAAGCATTTTTGTAAATTAATGACTACTCAAAATTAATAGTCACATCAAATTGATGATAGTAGCTTTGTAAGATGTGGTAGTAGAATTATAGGAGAATATATAGCCTGTTTTATATATTTTGATTATCTTCAAATTTCTTAATGCATGTGCTTTATAAACCAATACTAAGAAAAATCAGCGGAAAGACTAAGATGTTTTAACAGAAGAAAACAAAATAGGTGATATCTAGGCTCTGCCTTAGGATTTTTATGCTGTGATAAAACACCATAGCCAACACAAGTTGGGGGGAAAGCGTTTATTTGGCTTATACTTCCATATCACTGAAGGACAGGAGCTCAGACAGGACAGGGACCTGGAGGCTGGAGCTGTTTCAGAGGCCAGGGAGGGATACTGCTCATCATGGCTTGTTCAGTTAGCTTTTTTTTTTTATAGAAAACAGGACCACCAGCCCAGGGTAAGCACTATACACAATAGCTGGGGTCTCTCCCATCTACCACTAATTAAGAAATGTACCCTACAGCCAGGTCTTAATATAGGCATTTTCTCAATTGAGGTTCCCTCCTTTCAGATAAATGACATTTGTACAGAAGGTGGTTGAGCCCCTACCATCTTGCCCAGTGAAGTTTCAACTGGTGTGTTGAGCCCAGGTGTCAACTGAAGGAACATTTTTAAAAGTGAGCCTTGTGCTGTCCTTTGTTATGTGGCACGAGTGTTCACAAATTGTTGAGTTATATATGATCATGAAACTTAAAAATGTTCAGAAAAAGGTTGCCCCCAGCTGGAAGGCAGAATAGGGGTAACTGACAAAATGCTGGCACACAAATAGCTGTTGTTGGACCACCCAGTCCTTGTTGTGTGTGCCAGTCTAGTAAATCCCTTTGTGATATGTTTTCACATCACTGGCTGTTTCTTTAGAAAACCTGCACAAAATGTTCTGCATGTCATTTGCTTAATCTGAACTGTGCTTGGAATGGGAACTGCCACCAAGGTTCACTTCTAAATGGGAAAAAGAGAGGGGAGAAGGGAGAGAGAGACTTAACTGGAAGCGAGAGTTCTGTGAAGAGTATGCCTTTTATTGAATTCCCAGTCACCACATCACAGAGCAGAGTATAAAAGGATAAAAGGCCAAGTTTGAGACAGACAGATGCTAAATGAACAGCATTCTTTCGTGTAGAATTATAGCCTAGAAAGAGTCTAAATTGATTAAGTTTATCTATTTTTGGCATTAATATGTTGAGTGTACACCAAGCCAAAATTAGCAGTAGTAACAGCAACGGGATGTCTCATAAAACACGAAATGAGTTCCCTATCAATGCCTCACCCTTGTCCTATGGGGGTGCAGAAGACGGTTCTGGCATTCTGACCAGCCTTCAAGGACCTTCATGGGGTTACCTCACATACTAAGCATAACGAAAGGGAAGGAGCCCAAGAAAGGACATTTCTAGAGGGTGACGTTCTGAGAGGGAGGGTTGCCATTTAGAAAAATAAAGGGGGTGGGTGGGTATGGGCTGCAGAGGGAGTTAGCATGACAGATGGTGCCCTGCTGGAGAAGGGTTTTTCTGTATTTTCCAAATAAGGGTTTGGCAGGTAGAAGTCATCCAGGGTCGCCGAAAGAGAGGAGCAAATTAGATTTCAGCAGAATATATATATATCAGATTAATGTGTGTGATGTCCCAGAAGTATAGTTGACTTTATTTGTCCCCAGTTACATAATCATACATTCAACCAATCTGAGATTAAAAACTGCATCTGTATCAAGTATGTGCAGGCTTTCTTTATGCTAGTGTTCTCTAAATAGTACATCATAACAACGGCTTCAGTAACATTCACATGGTATTAGGCACAGTACATCATGTAGAGATAGATCCACTCAAAGTACGTGGAAAGGGGCCTACAGGTTCTATGTAAACATTGCCTGGGTTTTGTAGAAGGGGCCCAACCAACTTTGGCCCACCTTGGTGAAGTTGGAATTACAGGCAGCCCCTTCATAGGATATAGGTGGCAGTGTAGATCAGTCTCAGCCGTGGAACAACCTAGGCCACTCCTAGCCCAGGGATCTTATCATCAGCAGGATCCAGACTCTGGCCAAACCCCTGGTGGCCAACATTCATCCCTTTTCTAGTTCTCCAACCCACAGCCTCCCCTGGGAGATTTTTGCCTCTAAACAGACTCTGTCACAATTCTAAAAGTTTTTCAAAGATATCCATGTCACACTCTTCAACAATTGAGGGAAGATGTTCTATTTTGTGAATAGGGCCTTGCGGTTTTGTGCCTCTGTGTGTGTGTGTGTGTGTGTGTGTGTGTGTGTGTGTGTGTGTGTCTGTTTGTATGTGTCTGTTGTGTCTCTGTGTGTGTGTGTGTCTGTGTGTGTGACTGTGTGTATGTGTGTCTGTGTGTGTCTGTTGTGTCTCTATGTGTGTGTGTGTATGTGTTTGTGTGTGTGTCTGTGTGTATATATGTGTCTGTGTGTATGTGTGTTCCACCTTTGCATTCTAGAAATGCATTTAGAGATTTAAATGCCTTGTTTCCTTAGCCAGTGTACTTAGGATCCTTCTCTTCTGTTTTCATTGAAGTAATACAGTGTCCCTTTGTTCATATGTTACAAACACCAATAACCTGATCATTGCATTATTTCCAAAAGACATACATAATTGTAGCATCAACATGCATACCCTCACCCTTTTTCATGTGCAGTATACAACCAAACTGTACCATATCATTCTTGAATTCACACTGATTTCATATTGTAATTCCTTTGTAATTCCTTTGCTCCATTCTGTACATGAATTAACAAGGGATTACATGGGACATCCTTAATGTCTGACAACAGGAAAATCTGATGATAAAACATGCAACAATTTGAAGACACTTAAAGACAGTTCAGAGAACAGGAAAAGCTTATTTGGGGGTTTCTTAAATTTTAAAGATCTATCTTGAGGTTATCCCATTGTTTGGTAACATCACACTGATCATGCCTGATCTGTGAGACTATTTGATCCGAATACTTTTATTTTGTATATAAAAATTACAGCATGTTGGCCGTGGTATCTGTACATGACCTACATGAAATTGAGTCCCACAACATTCACTAAGAATGGGCGAAGGTCTAAAAGGTCAAATGAGCTTCCACACTGTGACTGACATTTAACACTGCCTGGGGGTAAGAACGACACTTTCTTCGAGGTGTAGCCACTGATTGGCTACACCTTCATGTTCATGCAGGCACCCTTAATTAAACTCAGTGGGTCACATCCACCAAGTCAGGACAGGGAGGACCTAGGAAGAAGTGGGGCTGTGTAGGAGAGGGAGGGGACATGAGAAAACACTGAGCAGAGAAAACAACCAAATTTCATTATATGCATGTAGGAACTGCTCAAAGAATAAAAAATTTTAAAACTGCAACATTATTGAGATGTTATTCACATAGAGTTCCACTCATCCACTTCAAATGCACAGTTCAGAAGCTTTTAGGAAATTC